AAAGAAGGAAAACCTGAATTTGAATGCCTGGAACTAAGTCTGGGTGTGGTGTGTTCGTGTAAAACCCCAGTCCTTATGCAGTGAAACGGAGAAGAGTTCCCAGCTGCTTGCAGGCCAGCTAGCCCACACCATGTGGTGGTGAACTGTCTCACGGTGAAGAATTGAAACTCAAGATTGTCCTCTGACCTCTGCATGTGCACCCACACTCATGCAGATGAGTGTGCACACATCACACACAAGTATAATGTGAGGAACATTGAAGAAGCTACCGACGGTCAAGCTCTGGCTATACCAAGTACTGTGCACGTACACCTGCACATATTGTACACATGAACAGGTACACACAGATACAAAAACCAAAAACTTGCTCTAATTAGAAGAAAATCATTTGTGTCCTCATGCTTTTGACTGCCATACTCTGCTTTGTTAACTTTTTTCGGCCTTTGGGTTTACGTGTACTGAGATGCTGGATTTATGTCTAGTGGAACGTCACACTGCCATGATGATGAAGTACCTGCAAATACACAACAGTGGTTGAAGCTGAGAAAAAAGAAGTCAGATGCTCAAGATTCCATGCATAGGCATTATAGTAATAGGCCAGCCCAACTATATTTCAAGTCAAGAGAGCAGTTTTCTTGGTGCTAGGGAATGATGGAAGAAGGAATTCTTCCAAGTGATTACTAGATTCACAGGTCAAAATTGTGTGCACATAATGACTATATTCTGTGTATGTTACACCTAATAAAGTTTTTTTTGTTTGTTTCTGTTTTTGTTTTGTTTGTTTGTTTTTTCGAGACAGGGTTTCTTTGTGTAGCTTTGGAGCCTGTCTTGGATCTCACTTTGTAGACCAGGGTGGACACACAGAGATTGGCCTGGCTCCAAGTAAAATTTTAAAAGGAATGAAGCAGAAACTTTTCTGGAGACTGATGCATGATACTTGTAGTTGGTTTGTATTTCCTATTGATTTTCTCTGGTCTTACTTGATTTTGTTATTAGCTGAGAACTTACTACTTATACTGGGTTTGAAAACTGTTTCTTTGCCCTCATTTATACAAAGTCAATGAGGGTGTCTTCCCTTCCAGCTGTCTCCTGTGGTGCATTCCAAGCTGCCTTAGAAAAGTCAGTGGCCATGCTGCAGCTCACTAGGGCTGCTTTCCTGCAGATGTAACTTCTGCTTCTTAAACTGAGCTTGAGACTCAGCAAACAAGAAGGCAAGCCTTGCAAACAAGATGAGGCTGAGGATGGACTGAGGAGGTCAGCTCAGAGTGGGTTTTTCCGGAGCTGAAAATGTGGCAGAGACAGAGAGGAGAGCAGGCCACTGGTCAGGGAGCTGTATCCTGTGATGACACCATTTCACAGTGCTCCTCACCAGCTCATGATGCCCCATGCTTCATGTCCAGTGCGCCTGACTGTATGCTACATACCCTGAAATCATCACTCTTCAGTTGACACACAAAAGTTCTCAAATCAAATGTCAATTCATTTCTGTAAAAGGAGGTAAAAATACCAAATATTTTACAAACTAAAAATGAGTGTTGGCTAAGTAGAGTTGGTATCTCATGATGGGATCTGATGGCAGTTGCTGAGTACCTTGCAAATACAAGCACACTGAAATGAGCGAAATTTTAAATCTCTAGTTTATCTGGAGTGTTTTGTTAGCTCTACAATATTCCAGCTTAAAGATTCAACATCCTCTTGGGAAATACTGGTTTGTAGCACCTTGGTTCAGACTCCCAAGACCGTTTCTAATGGCAGATCTTATCTGTTAGGATTTTTAATAGGAAGTGCTAGGATTTGATCATTGATTGATAAATTATACCTCTGAACAGGTACTGTAGTGGATTTCAGGTGACGGTGCTGCAGGCCACAAGAATATATTATAGAGATGCAACTGTATATAATAAAGCTATACTAGAAAGGCCAAGGAATTTTTCTAGGGGGAAGCCATTTATCGGGGAATATTTGGTGTTATTCAGCTTTTAATATTCAGCTGTTTCTTGCTATGAATTTCTTGTGCTCATAATTCCCCAAGAACAGTGTGTGTGAACCGCTTCTTGGGCATATACACTCAAAGTACTTAGATAAGGTCACATAGTCAAGGCCTTCTGCCTCAGGGCTCCCTCCCTGCTCCCTTTTTAGCATTTGAATTGGGCTTCTGCCTTTTGCAAATATCCCCTTTAGCTATATCCAAAGATAGGGCCATCTCCAAACAAAGCATCCAAGGACAAGCAGATGAACAGAATAGCTGGCCAGACCACCTGCTAGGTGCCTGAAGCCCCTGAACTAAGGTAAAACATTTCGAGGACAGCCCCCTAGGTGCATAGCTTTGCTTCTTGTGCAAATCAAGCTCAGATCTCCCCATCCTCTTACAGGCCTGGAGCAACTTCTTAGAACAAGGAGTTTTTTGCAGAACCAGGTACAGTAAAGACTGGAGCAGAATTCCTGGTCCAGTCAGAGTCGCGTGGCCAGAGAGAAGAGAACAGTGCAGGGTTTCTATAGATGGTAGGGCAGACTGGCTCCGGCTGAGGAGTAAGCAGCAAGGAAAAGTTTTGTGTGCTATAGGTGGACTTGAACTGGTCAGGAGAGGAGAAGAGGGAGGAAAGATGATGAAGGAACAGGGGATGAAGATGAGATCGAAAGCATAAGAGCTTAGTTATTAGAGGACAGAAAAAGAAGGGACAGAGAGGAAGCTGAAGCTGTATATATATCATTTTGTCTTAGAAAAATAAACAGACAAAAGAGCATTGTGTAAATAGATTCTTTTCCCTCAGTTAACACCACACCGGACATAGCGGCTTCCCCAGGACTCTGGGAAGGCTTTTCTCAGGGCAGGCCCCTGGGAAAATTCCGATAACAGGGTATACAGACTCAGTCTAAGAGCTCATTTGAGTGTTGAGGGGCTGGAAATCTTTTCCCTGAGTTGCCTGTGAACGTTTATTTCCTGGAAAGCCTTTGAAGTTTGCAGACTGCTTTTAGATATTCGCATAAGCAGCCAGAGCAAACCTGTGCTGGCCTCTGACTCCACATGCGAACAGGCAAGGGGACCAGGGCTGAAAGGTCACACTCAACTCTGCTTCTTTGTTTTTAATGGAAAGAGAAAGTGGTCTGCGTTGTTAATATGTAAACAATTTCAACTACAAAAAGAGGTGACTGAAAGTTAAGCTGTTGAAACAGAAAGTCTCTTTGTGTCCTTGAATTTTGGAGATGTGATCTCTCCAGTGTCCCTGTTTACATAATGAAATTTGGATATCTGTCTTAGAATTGCCATTTAAAAATAACATGGTTATTTATAGATATACAATAATATAATATGGTAATATGCTCTATAAAAAAAGTAGTGTGTTCTATGAATAAAGTCCAGTATATTAAAAACTTTCCATTATTGGGTATAATAATTACAAAGACTTTAACTGAACAGTCTTACAAATTAATCTGAATTTTTTCCTATATAGATATTTTCAATAAACAAAATGCTATTGCCTTATACTCAAGAGTCTTAAGTTGTATTTTTTTGTTGTTTTAAATTAACTTCTGTGTTTCCCTCTTAAAATCACTAGGAAAACCAGCTTCTTTGCATAGCAGTAGGTAGACTAGTTTTCTGCTGTGTATTTCTGTTGGGTTTCTGAGTCTTGTCCAGACCACAGCTGACATACAGAGCAGGTGGTTTTTTAAACCAAGTATTTTTATTAGTCATGTTAAGGTTTCAAGTTTAAATTAAATGTTACTGAAATGAAACCTTTTTTTAAATGGGCAAAATGGAGTTTCCTACCCAGGACACAGGCAGGCATAGAACTTGACTTTTCTGAGTCAAGTTCTGCTTTGAACTTGAGACCTCTACCTCCTGAGGGCTTCCGAAGGAGCAGGAGTTACAGGCCTGAGCTGCTAGAACTCTGTTTACCCGGGAATGCTTTTGAGTCTCATCATGAGCACAGAGGTACTGGCTAAAATGCAGATTCATAGGCTTGCGGGCAGGTAGCCTGTAGTTGGCCAAGCATTTTAAGTCTGAAGCATAGTACAGTGTGAAGCCTGCTACCTTGGAGCAGTGCTGCTTAATGGGTGGTCTAGAGCTTGTACTACAAATCCTTCAGGCAGAAAGTAAATAATAAAGCAAGAAAACAAACAGAACCAAGATAGGCCCTTTCTTTCACCTCAGTTATAAAGTTCATGTTTAATTATCCTCTTGTTTCTGTGAAGTTTAGTCCTGGTTTTCCTTTAAAATACCAAGTTGATTCTTATCACTTAATGACATACAAACTGTTTTGCTATCCATAAAGAATACTTAAAAGTTGTGTTGACCTGAATTCTTACAGAAGAGCAAGTATCAGATGAACTGCCATCATTTTATTTCCTTCTAAATCGGCTCTCAGTGATGTGTTAGGTGGCCCGTGCGGTCAGTGGACCCAGTGCCGCCTCCAGTTTCACAAATGAAGTGAGTTTACCAGCTGGGGAGGGGATGCCTTCATGCTACGTAGGACAGGTAGCACATTTCTGCCCCACATTTTTCCTCCAACCAAAAGACTACCTGCATTCCCACCCTGTCTACAAGCCTTCACTCACTAAGCTAGGTGCCAGCCACTCAGAGCCAGCAAGGTGGCTCCAGAGGACAAAGGTGTTTGTCGTGCAAGCCCGAGGACCTGAGTTCAATCCCTGGAACTGTGGAAAGGTGGAAGGATTTGCACCTACACTCACTCACACACACACATATACACACACACACACACACACACACACACACACACACAACACAATAATAACAGCATTTAATGTTTTAACAAAGAAGTTCTCTCTCGTCATGGGCCATATTTTGTCCACTACATTTGTGAAACTGAATTTGGCTTCAATAGTGCGACAATGCTTTCAATACTATTTATCGCTGTCCTCTCAAAGTTGATCCGACCTTCCCGTTTCATTATAAAAGGGAACTTTATTTCAGAGTAGCAAGTGCACTGTCTGAACTCATCAACACCCTCTCTGTCCCTCCCCTCCCCCGTTTGTTGCAGACCAGGATGAAAGAGCAGCTGAGCTCAGCAGGGAGCAGAATGAGAAAACCATCCGGAGCACGCAGACCGCGCTCCGCAATTTCCGGGAGTTCCTCATCTCCAAGTACCCTTCCGAAACCAGAGAGATCTATGTCATCCCTTGCAAGGAGCTAGATGCCTACCTTGCCTCCTTCTTCGTGGATGCCAGGCAGAAGGATGGGTCTGAGTACGAACCCAACAGCTTGGCGAATTACCAGTGTGGGCTGGAACGGTACCTGAAAGAGCACCGCTATGGCTACAGCATCACCAGGGACAAGGAGTTTAAGCGTTCCCAGGAGGCCCTGAAACAGAAGCAGATTGAGCTCCGCTGCAAAGGGAAAGGAAACAAGCCACACAAGTCCATGAAGCTCACCTTTGCCGACGAGCTCATATTGCGGAAGAGAGGACTGCTGAGCCGGTATAACCCCGAGGGTCTGCTCAACCTCGTCTGGCTTAACAATACAAAAGCCTTTGGGCACTGTACAGGCTTCCATGGATCCACCTTGAAATGGGGCGACATCCGGCTGCGGGTCACAGAAACGGGGCTCGAGTATTTGGAATGGATGGGTCAGGACACCGGTGATCTGAACGCCAAAACCAAGAGAGGAGGGACAGACTCGCGAGTCTATGCCACGCAGCACGCCCCACAGACTTGCCCGGTGCAGGACTATAAGGAGTACGCCCAGCGGAGGCCTCCGGCCATGCGCTATGAGGATGCCCCCTTCTACCTGTCCATCAAGCCAGTCGTGAACTTGGCGGCTCTGCATTGGTACAATTGCCAGGCCCTCGGCAAGAACAAGCTGGCCAAGATGGTGAAAACCATGTGCGAGAAGGGCAACATCCCGGGCAGGAAGACCAACTTCAGTGTCTACCAGAGCTGCAGCACCTTGTCCGAGGCCCAGAGCAACCAGCTGGTCCTCATCTGCAACAACCTGAGCCAGCAGGCCGCCCAGTCAGTGGCGGGCCACTCCAACAGCGGCAATTTCATTGTCTCCTCTTACGACTCTTCCTCAGACACAGCTTGACCAGGTGGCTTGTTACGCAAGACCTCACTTGGGTTTCTGTGTCCCAAGAAACTCTCCTTGTATACTGCATTTCGTCGCCTTTCACCTGCCCTCAGTGTTAACTTTATAAAATGCAAATCTCTATTTTTCTTTTTACAGATAAGCCAATGGCAATAGTTTAGTACCACTAACACAGTATTTATAGGCTTGAGACAAATAAGTGTGCTTGTGGGTGATTACATGTAATTGCTGTTACAGACTTGGCAAAACCGTAGTGGTTCTCAGGCAACGGTAGAGAAAGAATTCCGTTTCGAAAAAACCGTCAGAAAGGAAACCGAGTCATTCAAGTCCTCACCATGTCCTCACTCCTTGCCTCCTCACATCCCACTTTTGATCTCCTTCATAGATGGATTTATTTTTTTAATTTTTAAAAATTCTATGAATCTGGAGGAGACACCTTTACTGCTCCTGCCGGATGTTGCTGAGCCAGAGCAGGTCATGGAAGGGGTGTCTATCATAAGCTCGGCGTCAAGTTATTTACGTGTGTTGTTAGTGTAGAGTTTTAGCTCCTGGACCTCACTTTTCACCATATATGGAGATCCCAGTGCTTAAAGAATTTTTCTTTGGGGGGGGGGGCGGGACACAGGACGGCATGTAGAAGGAGGAATAAAGGTGCCATTCTTTTTTGGAAGACGTCTCATTTCTAAATAATATGCAAGGTCTGATACCGTGAGGGTGGGGAGACTGTTACAGAGCTCGTTTTTAGTGGTGTGATTGGACCTGTGTAGGGTGTTCTTTTTTCCTAAGTCAGTGTAAATGAGTTTGATCATCAGATTTACAAGAAATTTTAAACTTTCAAGAACTTTGAAAATATTTCCAAGTGTTAGATTGTCTATCAAGAATAAAAGAGAGGGTAGAAAATGGAGGCCCCACTAACAATCTAGACACCTTGGTGGAGACAACAAGCTGCAGGATCCTGTTACTGTGTCTAAGCATTCAATCCAGCTCTTTTCCCTAGGGGAGCACTTGACTCTGCACTTAGGATCAAGGGAGCATTGACACCCATCTTAAATCACAATAGTTAGTTACCCAGCTTAGCAGAATTCAAAGCATTCTTGAGTTTCTTCTCAGTAAATAGAAATGCATTCGTCTGTGGTAATCTGTAGCTGGAATAATTTTGGTTAAACATTTGTGGTGGTTTTTCCAGTCTTTGTTTTCAAGTCTTGAAGACTGTAGTAAATTATTAGTTAAAACACTTCAAAAATCAAATACATTTAGTCATTAGAGCCACAGTAAGACTGAGCTGGGTTCCTTCCCATCCTATGCAATCAGTAATATGGAAGGGCTCTGAAAACCATCATTGGTTTGTCACAGTTGAGCACCCTGTTGGGGAGCTGTTTATTCTTCAGGTCAACCTTACCACTCACATCAGCTTGGAGGATAGGTGGTACTTTATTATCTTCTGATATGAAAAGAGAAATATTTTCATTTGCTTTACTAAATTGTCACAGAGCCGAGCTTTCCCATGGCTAAGTGGCTCTTTGCATCAATATGTAATAAGTGCACAGGGGCCTTTCTTCTAGGCTGTGGTCCTTAGTGCAGAAGTAGCAGGTGAGCCTGGGGCCTTGGTGGGTAGAAGTAGCTTTATGAGCTTGTCCTTCTGAGAGAAGCATCATTAAGAAAAGGTATATATTTCTATACAAGTATTGTCTAAATCCTTTGAGCACCCTAAAGAGGAAGCAAGTTATCCTCTTTTTATGGTGAAATCATAAGTCGGTTAGATGAAGGAGTCTGTCTTCTCACCCCAGCCTTTTTCTATTCATCTTATGAGCTAGTTGTTGGTTTGGGTGGTATGAGCCAGAAATGAGAACAGTGTCTTTCCTTTGCTGAAGGCTGTCTAGTTTCAAGGAATTCTGGGTGATGTTTCGTGATTGCACACAATCCTCTGACCCACCTCCCCATCGCCTCCACTTAAATACGCAGCTGCTTTCTCCCAGCTCCTCTGCAGACCCTCCCCACTCTTGGAGGCAGACAAGCCCGCTGTAAGGGAACTTTTTGAAAGGCTGTTTTATGTGGTATACTTGTCATTTTTTATCGTCATAGTTTTTAAATCCTCGATCATGTTGGCAGCAGAGTTGGTTTTGAGAAAGGAAGCCTGTCACTGTGCACTCCACTAAGGATGGAACTAGGCAGTTCTGAGTCCCTGCGGGTGGTGGTGAGAACTGACAGGAGCCCCTGCCCTGCCTCTCCTGAAGTACTACATTTTCATCAAGACAGCTCCATCAGTAATGTGAATTGCTTTTATTTATTTATGTTTTGCTGTGATAACTAACCAGATAGGAACACTGTGATATTTAGATTAAAACAACTTTTTGAAAAATGGCTTACTAGAAGAAGCATAGCCAACTTAGAACCTCTTTAATTAAATTATACAAAGTCCATGACTACCTTTAAATTTTGTATTTTTATCTAAACAGTTCTGAGGATGTACCACTACCTGTTTTTATTACTTAGAATTTTAACTTATAAAATGATTCCACGCCGTGGCAGAGGTGTACGCCAGCATTTATCATGGTTATTAGGGCTAATGTGGAATGTTCCATACTCCGACTAACAGATCTGCCTGCCTCTACCTCCCAGTGCTGGGAGTTTCTCCTAAAATCAGTAATACGGTGAAGCCATTTGTGTGCTATCCCTGTGTTCACTTAGGTGCATACACACAGGAAAGCCAGGCTGTGTGGTGACAGTCGTCTGTCAGAGCGTACAGTGTGCCCCGTCCCAGGTGCTTCCCTAAGGTGTCTTTATTAGTAATTATTTTAAATGAACATTGCTGCTCTTTGTAAGGGAGAAGAAGGTCGGACGGGTTGCCCTGGTCACACAGAGAGGGGAGAAGCAGTGCTGGTCCCTGAAGGACGTCCTGTTCCCACCAAGTCCTGTCCTTTTCTGTGGCTGCTACCCAGGCACCACTCACTTGTGCTCTGGTAATTCTGCAGTAGGCTCTCTGAAGTCACAAGCTGTAGATAAAATCTCTGGTACAAGATAGTTTTTTGAGAAAGGGCTTTGACTGGAGCCTGGGGCCCAGCAGTTAGGCTGGGCTGTCCTTTCATAAGGTAGAGTGCTAGAGCTGGGATGAAAATTAGCAGTCCTTCCCGTCAAACGGGTCTGGGAACCCAGAAGTGCACTGTAGATACCATCTTCCAGTTACTGCTGTGTTTCTACTGATAGCAGATAAAGGGGATTGTATCGGTAAACTACCAGCAACTCTGATTTGACCTTTCTAAGCAGAGAAAAGGAAGACAGATCTCTCAAGGTCCAGCTTACCTGAAAATTGACCCGTTGGGTTTGCCAGAACTGAATGAAAGGCCTGATTTGGTATTGAAGATTGTGGTTTCTTTAAAATATGACATTTTAGTGTACTAAGTTGAGTTTTGGTGCAAGCCATGATGAATTAGAATCAGTGTTAGTTAGGTCCGAGTATTGCTATAAAGCCATTGTCTTTGTTGAATTGTGATCTTAGAGGCCACCCCTAGAAAGGACCTAAGAAGTTGTCTCGCCCAGTGATTACCAAGATTTAGACTCAGAAACCATATCTTCCTTCAGGGAGATAGTAAGGAAGGTAAAGGGATGGATACCTCAGAAAGAATATATGAACGTGCACACTCATACACATTTGCTGGAGAGTTAGCTCCTAGACTTCCTCTGTCCTTTGAGACTGGCTGTGCTGAATGGGCTGATGTTACCTCTGTTCCACAGCCCCCACAGAGATGAGTACCTGGGTCTTCCCGTCTCATTAGGATTAGAGCCAGGAGTACACAGACACCTGACTCCTGTCCTTACAGAAAAACTTGATAGAATTTAGAAAAGAAATCCCACCTACGTGGAAGTAAACCATGAGTTAAATGTGTTTTTCTTCTTTTCCAAATTGTATTTTAAACCTCTGTATATTTGTTTGGGTTTTTAAGACTGGGTCTCATGGTGTAGCTTTGGCTAGCTGGAACTATGTAGACCAGGTTGGCTTTGAACTCACAGAGATCTGCCTGCCTCTGCCTCTGCCTCTGGAGTGCTGGAATCAAAGTGTACACCACCGTGCCCAGAATTAACCCTCACATTTGTTATAGGCTGTTTGAATGTGAAACCTAACTTTTCATTGTATAGGGTTATATCTTGATTTTTAGCCATGTTTCATTGTAAAATTTGTTAGAATCACTTCTAGTGTAATTGTTTCCTAACAAATGTCACTCTGCTCATCCCACTTATAGTTAGTTGTCAACTATAAATGGGGAGGCAAACTACCCACATCTCTAAGTATTGGATTCCAGTTGCAGATCATGGACCAAAGGGAATTCCTGTTTCATTGTGCATTCTCCTGGAAATCCAGCTCTACGGTACCCATGTTATTGGTTTGAGATACAATTTGTACTATTTGACAGTTTGAGACATACCTTCAGTCAAAAGGATTACAATTTTATCGACATAATTAAGATCTTCTTAAGTGAATTTATTCAGCAGTAAAAAGGGAAAAGTGGTAGGCGGTGATACAGGTCTGCAGCAGGGAGATTAGAAATGCAAAGTGGGTTTCCTGTGTTAGCTGGACTTTTCTTCTGGAATTCAAGCATAAGAAATTTCACAGACACAATTTGCAAATTGTGTTTATCAGAATCAGTGGAGACAATATCAAATTTTAGGATTTTTTTAAAGTGCAGTGTAGTTGTCTTTTTACGGAATGTCTGACTTGGTATGACATTGGAATTAGCATTCTTACCGTTTTGCATTGATTTCCATGGGAGCTTTACAAATGCTTTGACCTAGTTGACTCGTTCGTGGTAGGTAGAATTAGGACGGCATTGGAAATGTAGAACCCTAACAGTTATTGTACACACAGTGTTTTAGTGGCTGTTGAGTGTCTGTGTTGTTACATTTTATAAGTCACGTACCTTAGAGTACTGTACTATTAATTTGTAATTGATTATTTATACTGGGTGTCCATATTTAGTATTAGTCCAACCAGATTAACTTTATCTAACTGAACTTTTATACCAGTAATCCATTATGTTACACTTTAAAAATAGCATTTATAACTAAAAAAACTTCTGCTTTATAAGCATTTGTTATGAAAGAAACTTGCCAAAAACCATTACAATTTCTATGCATTCTAAGATAATTGAGTGACTTTGGGGGTTTTGCATGTTGTTGTAGATGCTCGTTCAGTGTTGATAACGTTGCTGTGGAATCGTTAGCCATCGCTGCTATCACTTCCTAGAGTTAGGCTGTGCTGCGTGTGTGTGTGTGTGTGTGTGTGTGTGTGTGTGTGTGTGTGTGTGTGTGTGACTTGAGAAAGTAAGTACTTGGTCTAGTCTTTGGAGACAGCACTTAGTGGCCTCACAAAAGGAACACGGTTGTCCTGAAGCACTGAACGTGTTTCCTGTGTACCATTGCCGTCCAGAGAGCTTTCCTTCCCACACCTTCGAAAACAGAAAGCAAACAGTCTGTGTGTTTGGTTTTAAGTACTGTGTCACTGAGCGTTTTTACAGGAGAAGAGAGTCCAGCAGAGTGGCAGTGGAGCCGAACAGTCTCCCTGGCCTGGATATTTTAGGTTGACGGGGTAGCAGCAGGAGCCTGTGAGGCACACGCGGGCTAGCTGCTCAGCATGGCTTACTGTTAGGATTGCATCTGCAAGAATAACTAGTAATTTCGGGGCTGGAGAGATGGCTCAGTGGTTGAGAGCATGTACTGCTCCTCCAGAGGACCCGAGTTCTATTCCCAGCTACTACATTGGGTATCTGTAATTCTAGCTCCAGGCCAAAACGTCTGCACATACTTACATATAATTAAAAATAGTAGAAAAAATGAACCAAAAAAAGAATAATTAATGATTTAATGTATACCTTATAGTTCCTAATGCCAGCTTTTGTATCCAGTATTTACTTAGGTCTGTGGCGTGTATTTAGTATGCCCATCAGGTCTTTCATAGCTGTCTGTCCAGTTCAGTGCCTGGTGTTTCCCGATTGCCTCAGTGGTCCCACACACACTCTGACGACAGATTAACTCTGTCTCCTGTACTTGGTCAAAATTCAGCACGGAGAAAGTATCATTATACTAGTATTTATTCTTTTACAGCAGAGGTTAAACTATCATGAAATATTAAGCAAAGAAGGCTGCATCCTAAAGAGCCTTTTCACACCAACATGCCAAAATTCCCCATGTGGTACTGGGTTTCCTCCTGTCAGCTCAATCGATAATAATTATAAGATCCCTTTAATGAAAGGATAATCTCCTGAGGTAGATACAGGCTTTTTGTGTGACTACCAGAAGCATAGTGACAGCCGGTGCTGTGTTTGGACACATGGGTGCTGAAATTACTGATTTAATTCCAACATTATTAAAACTAATTCCTCAAGGCCGCTGTCATTCTTTGCTTAGAGCAGTGGCTCTCAGCCTGTGGGTTGCAGCCCCTTTGGAGGGTTAAGTGGCCCTTTTCCAGGGGTCACATACCCTGCATATCAGATATTTACATTACAGTTTATAACAGTAGCAAAATTACAGTTATGAAGCAGCAATGAAAATTATTTTGTGGTTGGGGTCCCCACAGCATGAAGAACTGTATTAGAAGGTCACAGCATTAGGAAGGCTGAGAAACGGTGGCTGAGAGGCAGAGAAAGGCAGATTTAACTGTGAGCCTCCCTGCCAGAATGTGCTGTAAGTGTCCAGCCCTCCATGAGGTGCTGAAGCAATAAGAGGAAACTGGGTTCTGTGTGGTGTGAGCAGCCCTTGTCATCCAGCCCCAGAGCCACACTGGAGCATCTCTTGATTCCTGTACTGGGAAATTTCAGACACCAAAGACTGGCATGGTAGGTCCTATGATGAAGTCTCTCTCAGTTGGTGGTAGACATGTATTTTCGGGTTTATTTTCCACCCTTGGAGCTTGTGTTTTGAATCTCTCTGTCCAAGGCCTTTATGTCTGGAGCAATTTTTTTGAACAAATAGTATAAATACTTGGTAGGTTTTTAGTTTATAGTTTCTATTTTCCCCATGTAAACATTCATTGCTAAAGTTGGACATATAGTTGTTAGATCAGCCTCGTGGTGAGTGATCATTTCCGTCTCTGTGCGGTAATATAAACATTAAAATCCCATTGACCCGAAGGCTGGTGAAGAGAATGACTGGCCCTACTTGAATCGACCAGAATCAGTATGTGGCCCAGCTGACCACTACAAGAAGACTTGGTGTGCTCTCATGGAATGGAGGCTAGGGTCAACTTCAGGGAGGTCCTTTGTTTTGTTATAAATCATGCAAGTGTGCATACAGTTCCTTGTCTTCCATCACTGAGGACTTAGGGGATAAAAAAACAGATTTATCATTTTAGTCCCTGTGGTTGACGACCAGGCATCTGTTTGAAAATGCTGTAACCACAATTAATATGCTTAGGGGGAAATTTTCATGAAACCACAGAGGGTCGTGCTGTCCTTTTAGGATGTATTTACTTGCCCAGGTTGGTAGATTGTTGTCTTTCTGTGTGTTTTCTAGCCACTTGGCTTCTCTATGATTGACGTGGAAAAAAGTACATGTGTGTCTGCCTCACTCAAATCATAATTGAAAACTTCTTTTTAAAGCTGCTACAGTTCTAACTTGGGAAAGGAAGAAGAACAGTGTGGATTAAAATGAAAAAAAACTGTGATAATGTGTCAGCTGCTCCTGCCTGTCAATGTTTGTAATATAGACTGTTTGGTTACTAAGAGTATATGGTATTGGTTTCATTTTTATTTCGCTGCTCACTGACCTTTTACACTAAGATGTTTCATTTTTATCAGCTCACTGTTTTTGCTTCATAACTGTCTGTGCACTTGTGCTTTAAATAAAGCTCTAGTTTTGTGTCCATCACGTGTATAGCGTTTGCTCTCACGTAGTGAGATTTTCTGTTGTTGTTTTTTCAGTTTGTTGATGCAGCTTGAGATCTTTGGAAATAAGCAGTCCAATAAACCCAGCCCGTGTGTGTCCATAGTGTCTCTAGTTAGAGCTTGCTCTGTCACCGTGTCCTTTCTGTGTTTGGGCATGATGACCAATTTTCAGCTAATAAATTATTTTCTGCAAAGAGAGCTGGTTTTGTAACTCTTCCAATTTAAAAAGCAGGCCACAGTTTGGGGGGAAAGTCAAACTGTTGGCCTGGTGGCGTGCAGTGGCCCCTGGGATGTTGACAGTGTGTACAAAGCCAGGCACTCCATGTCTAACCCTGAAGGGGACAGCCCTGGAAAAGGAAGTATGTATGTACACAGCTGTTTACAGGACTCTGTAAGGTAATGAAATTCCTGAGTAATGGATCTGTAGCTGGTTAATTCACGGGCTTTCTGTAGCCCTGGGCCCACTTATGGAGCAGAATGCTCTGCAGCTGATAATTAGCTGTGGGCTGTCTGATTTACTTATTTACATACTTACTGTGGTGGGTGTGCAGGCCTGTGTGTGTGTACAGAGGCCAGTGGTCAAAACCAAGTGCCTGTCTCTGTAACTTTTGTGACAGGCTCTCTCGGTGAACCAGGAGCCCAACATTTTAGCTCAGTTGCCTGGCCACTGAGCCCTTGGGATCCCTTTGCCTCTGACTTCCAACACTTAAGTTACATGCAAGCACCGAAACAGGTTTTGACAGGTCCTCTTGCTTATTAAGCAGCCCCCCCCCTTTTGTTTGCTTCCATTTTTGAGGCGGTATGTAGCCGAGGCTGGTCTCGGATTTGTTCCATAGCAGAAGGTGGACTTGAACAACTGATTCTCTGGAATCCACCTCTCATGTGTTGGGATCGTGGGTGTGTGAGAGCATCTCTGTTTGCTGTCTGTATGGACACCTCTGTTAGTCCTTTCCCTTTACTTCACAGAGGGAGTCAATGCTTTCCAAATAAATACAGTTATGCTGCTCTAATACATAGAGGCAGGCTGGAGAGATGATCAGAAGTTAACAGCTCAGGCTGCCAAAGGACCTGGGTTTGTTTCCCAGCACCCACATGGCTCATAACTGCCTTTAACTCCAGTCCCAGGGGATCTGACCCCCCTTCCAGCCTTTGCAGGCACCAGGCACATACATGGTACACAGACATATGCAGGTAAAGCACCCACACACATTTTTTAAAAAAATACATACTTTAAAGCTAGGTATGGTGACACATGCCTTTAATCCCAGCACTCAGGAGGCAAAGGCAGGTTGATCTCTGTGAGTTCGAGGCCAGCCTTGATCTATAAAGCAAGTTTTAGGACAGCCAGGGTTACTCAGAGAAACCCTGTCTCGAAAAACAAAACATTTTTTTTCTTAAATATATGTCAGGTCCTAGTTTTCTTTATTTTCGGAAAAGTGCTTTTAGTCAGATGGTGTTCTCTATGTGTTATTTATCACATTTGGCATATTTGACATGGTTCTTTGAACAAAGCAAAACTGATTCCTTGATGATTAACCTCAGGCATCTTTGTTGGGTTGCTAAAATGATCTAATAGTAAAAAGCCTTAGGCTCTAGAGAGACAGCTCAGCAGTTAAGCATATGCAGTGCCCTAATGGAGGACCTATGGTCAGTTCCGAGCATCCATGTCAGGTGGCTCATAACTTCGTGCCAGGGGATTTGACACCCCGAGCGTCTGAGGACACCTGTGCACATACACCACTCCAAGCACTGTGACTAATAAATAAATAAAATAATAAAAAATAAATAAATTAAGAATAAAGTAAAGCTTTAAAAAATACCTGGAAATTGTATGAATACTCACAACCATTTTGCTGAAATGTAAACCTACTTCATATATGAATAACTCACCAGTCTTCTCGGCTGAATGTTCCAGATGGAGATGGCTGTTTCATTGTAACAGCAGTGTGGATGGACTAACTGTAAGTGTTATGCCTGTGTTTTCATAGTATTTCAAGAAACACGAAGCCCATTTTTAAATATGTTTACAAGTTGTATATTTATGATGATTCTTAACTTTGCTTATGGGGAAAGAATATTAGGATTCAGGTTGACTCGGGTACAAGTCATAAAATTGTTTCTATTTAAAAATTCATAATAATTTTAAAAAGGATTTTATTTAACTAAAATGGTTAATATGTACAAAATAATGTTGGTTAAAAGTTTTTAAAGCAAACATTGAAAATGGCAAGCATTCAGAGCAAACTTATTTTAAGTGGAAGTGAAACCAGCATTCACTTTATTGAACATTCTGGTGCTTTCCGACTGGTATATCGATGAACAGCCATTGCAAGTAAGGAGCAGGCAGGAATAGGTAGGATGCTGGAAAGATGACTCTTAGAAACTGCTACGCAGATAAGACTTTCTCGTAGTCTTACTTGGGATGTGGGTGTTGCGCCCATGAACCATCAGGGCTGGAGATTGTAGATCAGTGAGAAAGCACCTACTTTAAGGTACTGAGCCTACTGTTGGGTCCCTAGAATGGGGCAGCAGAGGGAGGGAGATAGGTTGAGATTTGGGGTCTCATTTTGCAGGCATGGATGACTTGAAACTTGCTATGTCCATCGGTCTGGCCTTGAACTCAGAACTTTGCCTTCCAATGCCTCCCAAGTGCTGAGATTGGAGGTGTGGACCTTAATATTTTTAAATAAGTTCTTACTGCTTTGAACAAACGTGCCAAGGTCTGTTTTAAAGTACCTTAATTAGTTGTATTCTTTTTTTTTAACTTTTATAAATTTGCATTAACTCCTTATGCATACATTTTTGTATTTCTGATAAAATCCCTGGTTTTGAAAAGAAAGTCTTAGATCACATGAAAAAGAAGTTTACTCTTTCCTACATGATTCCTAATGAGTTTTACAATGTACAAAAATAATATATTCATACTTAATACGGGACTGAAAATACTATGGAACAAATAACTAACATGATATGTATCCTTTAGGACTTTCAAAATGAAGTTATAAATAGACAATTTAAGTTTTATTTTCTTGTTAAAATGGCATCAGACTACACATCTTCAATTTTCCTTTTTTACTTAATACATTGTGGACCTGTTTCCATACTCTTGTAAAAGGTAGCACAGCTTTTAATGATAGCCTATACATATGCATTATTTAATCTTTCCTCCACTAAGGAGTTTTTTGTAGACATCTTTATCATTGCCTACTTATTTCTACACTAGCTAGAATGGCTCAACAAAAGTATGAGTGCAGACATCATGGAACATTGGCCAAGAACGAAGCTTCTTCCCCATACTCTGCCTCTGTTTAGATGGAGGCTTTTTTAAAGTGAAATCCATCTCGTTTTCATCTTAGTGTCTGACTATTATTAATGTATTTCAGTATTTGTGTTTCTTCTGTGAATAATTGTCTGTCATTCTGAGACCGTTTTCTAGTGAGTTATCTTTTCTTCATAGATTTCTAGCAGCGTTTCCTAGGTCCCCATAACTCTTTTTTTTTTTTTTTTTTTTTTT